GGGGGGGGGGGGGGGGGGGGGGGGGGGGGTGACTGAAACAAAACTTCAGCCCCCCAGCTCTCTCCCCCTTCCCTGCTGCTACGCCACTGGATGTTAGACGCCCTTACGTCCATAGCGTCTATGGCGTTACAAACTCCTTGAGTCATCGACTAATGGAGAGTGACAAACATTCGCGTAAAACAACCCGTAAATGAGGATACAAACAGCCTCACCTGATGCGAAGCGACAAGCAATCGTGAAAATCAAGAGGCGCAGTGCATTGCGCACGAATGAATCTCGGCCAGCATGCGTTGCAAGCAGACGAAGACAGGAAGTGGATCTCGCGTATTTCATCACGTTCATCTGCATTCCTGGGGCCACGCGGGGGGCACCGAACTCGTTCGACTATCAAATACGAAAGAAAATGAAGGGAACCATATTTTCGACCGCCAACGTCAAAGGTAAAAGTAAAGTACAGTGTAAAACGTAAAAAGTAAAGTGTAGAACGTAAGTAAACATAAAATTTTTGAACGCACGCTTCCTATGGGTGACCAAGAGACTAAGTTTCAAGTTTCAGGGGCGAGGTTCACACCGTCTAGGTCAGGGCTTCTCGACCCCTGATCATGAGCATATTTGGGGGGCGCGAATCAGCAACTATCAATATGTGTCAAGATTTACTTTTCTTTACAATTTTAGCATATAGGTGGCGGGAGTCTGTCGAATTTCGTCCGGTGCTTCAGGTCCTGAATGGTATGATCGTGATTTTTGAAGAAAGGGTTGAAAGAAAAGGTTGGGAAGCCCTGGTCTAGGCAAAGAAGCAGTCGCAAAAACACTTTCGCTCTATAGTAAAAAAAGTAGATGTAGTAGGATAAAGTTCAAAACGGAGAAAAAATTGAAAACACTGCTCTTTCGAGTGAGACGTCAACGAACTGGAATTTTGCAGTATCATTAAAACAAATCAGGGCTTCAGACATGATGCCTGCATTTCATTTTGCTTATTTTCCTCTTTAAAAATTGGTAATTTTGTAGATGGACGATGAGGTCCAAACGCACTCCCACGCAACTGAGATTTTTCTAAGAATTATTTGCCACATGACGGAGGCACCGATTCAAAGGAAGAGGAAAAAGAGCCGCCTCCTCTCACCTATTACACCTCCCACCTATTACACCTCTCACCTATTACACCTCCCACCCACAAGAGACGTCCTCCTGAGCGGGCCGTGAAAAATGAAGACCAAAAACCTTCCGAAGACACTCCGTGGTATCCAAAAGGTATTGTGCATACAAAATCTGGAGTCAGATTATAACAACAAACTTGCGTGCGACAACCCAAGATCACCCACAGAAAGGACGGAGGTTTCACTTTCAGTTGTCTAAATTAAGACTTTCGATTCCCGGGAACATTGCCTCCGGTCGCATGCTACTGGTTCACATCTCACTCGTAAAAATCCATTCATCCGGCTAGGAGGAGTTTCCCAATTTGACAGACAGGTTAGCTTCTTATGCATATGCATCATTGATGCCATTCAGAACGTTAGCAGTCTTCCAAATGAAGATCAAATTCAAGGTTGGTTCTAGGCATGAAAGGAGCGCAAATTCGCAAATGAAGCCCATGACATGGTTGTTAATCCCTCCGCATCAAGCGACTTTTCAACCTATCTCACCTGGACTTTCCCTGCCTTTCCAAGACGCTCTACTTTGAAAGGAGCTGGTTTGCTCAGGTTAAGATACTCTGTCTATACTCGCATTCCATAACTCGAGTCAACGGAATTGATTGATGAAGAAAGCGAGTAGGTGACATGCAAGTAAGGGTCTTTTTTCTCTTTGCGCTTCCTGGGTCGTCACATGGTCGATTCATTGAAACCAGCATAGACCAAATGGGCCAGCGATTTTCCATACCCTGAAATCCTGGAAGTGACTATATCGAAGTGTAGAGGGAGGGCAGGCGGACAATCGATATCACACTTGCCGTCAGCCAGGGCCACCGAAAGGAATTGTCTGGGGTAATATTCACATAAGGACCCCATTCCAATTGTGTCTTCCCCCCGCCCCCCAACACCCCGCTCTAAACATAATCAACTCTTCACTGCGGGGGAACGCCGCGCTACTGAACAACAGTATATTATCCAGCTTGGGGGGGGGGAGGGCCTCGAGCTATTTGCCCCTTTTGCCCCCCTCCCCCTTCTCTCCGGCCTGGCCGTCATCAGGCCATCAATCTTCATGGCTGTTTGGTATTGTCTGTACCAGTGGTTCTCAGCCGGTGGGTCGCGAGAGAAAGAGGGAATTAAAATATATGGAAAATTATGGAGGGGCTAGAGAAGACTCGGGATCAATGATGAACACGTCTTTTCAATCATTATTGCTCTTTCGAGTTAGGTATTATTGCTCAAATTCATGTTGCATCTTGGCTGAGGAAAGTTGGAAATTTCTGATTGGGAAGGGTTCACCGAGAGAAACAAGCCAAATGTATCTAAATGACTTAGATGCTGCAAGAGAGGACTGCTGAAAGACAATTGAGTATTGTATTAGTACTAAAGCCAATTGACAAGAGTTATGAACTAAAATCCCTCTCATGGATTTTGTGATGCGATGCTGCTAAGTCTGGAATTCCCCTGCAGGTGCCGTCCTCACAGCTGAGCCAGGAGGCCAGCGTCGACATGCATGATGTCGAAGAGACCATCCCCCTTCAAATTGGGAGCCCTGTCTTCCTCAGGATCAGAATTGAGTCCAACTCTTCCCAACCCTACTCGAACAGCATGACCATATTCAAAGTTGTAAGGCTATCATTTTCCAAGCCTCAGCAAGTAGATTCTTTAAGACTGTAGATCATGCAACTGTGACTGTTCATGTGACTTCCCACCTGGAGTAAGTTTTTTGCTCCCTAAGTACTTCATGCACACTAATGTTCTGGAGCTCACCATAAAATATCTTGTATCCATGGAAATAGCGCTGCATGTTTGAAGCATTTAGCCTCTTTGCTATCACAGGAAGAGCAGAACTTCTAATACCACTGGCTCAATGAGAATGTACACATCAGTATGGTGAATGCACCAGAAGTAAACAGTTAGCTGCGCCAGTATGATAGGAAATGCCGAGGGCGAATATGAGTCGAGATGGGATATTGCCATAGGAGCAACGAAAAGTGGCAAATGTGATTTTAAAAACCCTTTTACCACCGACACAAAGCACGAACAAAATATTTTTTCTTCAATATATTTTAAATTTTAAAGGAAGACCTTCACAAAATTGACAGAACTCCATTTCTCATTGAGAGTAAGTTGTCATTGTTAATTTTGTTTTTAGACAATTGGCAGTTTTTGGTTGTTTGCTGCCCTATTGTTTAAATCTCATGTTGCAGTCCCATATTGAAATTTGATTAAATTTTTGAAGTATAGAAATCAAAGATATGTTCGATTTTCATTTTGAAAGTAATTTGAGTTTTTCCTGGATTCAAGGTCAAATCTCATGTGGAAGGACATGAAAAACGATTCAAAATGATTCTAATATATCTGAGTTATTTTTAACAAAACCTATTGGAGATTGGTGACACCTGGACTGAGAATTGGTTTTTTTAGGCAAGGAATTGTTCCACCTTAAAATGTGCTTGATCTTGGAAAATGGAGTTTGGTGTGGAATAGTTTCTCTATGATCCCATGAAAATTTTGTCAAAATTAGAGGAAGTCAAGAATTCACTGAGTTGATGTCATGTGGAAAGGCTGAAAATTGGCTCTTGGTCTTTTCAGCTGGCAAACTTGGAAAGAGAGGGAGGGGCAAGGAAGGACTACTTTCTGAATTCCAGCATCATGCTGGACTGGAATAAATACTTCCTGCAGAACCTGGAGTCTCACCTTGCAATTGCAGATTCCCATCTGGCCAATGTTATGTCCCACCTGGCAGCTACCGAGTCCCGCCTGGCAGCTGCCGAGTCTCAACTGGTTGATGCATTTTCCCGCCTGGCAGCTGCCGAGTCCCGCCTGGCAGCTACCGAGTCTCGGCTGGCTGATGCATTTTTCCGCCTGGCAGCTGCCGAGTCCCGCCTGGCAGCTACCGAGTCCCGCCAGGCAGCTGCCGAGTCTCAACTGGTTGATGCATTTTCCCGCCTGGCAGCTACCGAGTCCCGCCTGGCAGCTACTGAGTCCCTCCTGGCAGCTACATACCTGGCATTTAGAAATAACATGTCATATTGGTGGATTTTCCTAGTCATTGCAGGTATCCTGATCCCATGCCTTTCCATAAATATTGAATGAAAGCAGGAAACTCAAAGAAGCCTTTCAATATAGGCACTTAATTTATCTTGTGGCTCTATGGTTTCTAGCTTCTTTCAATCAACTGAGTCAGGCAAATTGGGTGGCTTCTTTTTTTTTCCCAGTTCCTCCAATTAACCTACAGGTTGGTGCAAAACATTAGCTTCCCCTTCCACAGCCAACGCAAAATTTGTACAAACATAGCTGTTTATGCATTCATTATTCCCCGAAGAAGACCATGGTTGAGTTAGCATGATTAAATTAGGTGTAGAATAAGGTTAGGCAAAGATGCAAGCATCTAAATAGATAGTCACTGAGTTAGTGCTTGAAAAGTTGCCAAAACTGATTCAGAGGCATTTATGTCAACTGAGGGGAGATTTAGGAGCAATTTAGTTAGAGTTTTTTGAGTTGTACTTTATTTTTACAACCCAGCTGCAAAGTTGACCACTCAGAAACAGCATAGAAGCAAGGTAGCTTGAGGCAATAATGCATGGATACTGGTATCAGTGAAGTCACCCTCTTCCTCCATTACTTGAGTATTCAGTATATTTTTGTTGCATTGTTTCCTCCACGTTTTTGGACTTTTCCTAAATTTTCTTACTCATGAGTTTCTTTTCCACATATGATAGATTAAATCCCAATGAGGGGCTTTTTTGGTGATTGGATGTTCCACTTTCCTTTATATTAGTGTTTTTGGTGCATTTTTTCTGCGAAGATTCATCATACACCCTTGAAACGGCTGTTGATTTCATGACTCTGCTTCAAACAGTTGCACATAATTCCATAAAGATTGCTCAAGTGCATCTTGTTACTGCTTTTTTGATGGGATGAAATTTGTACTATCTCCTTATGATTTTTAGCTAGTTCATGTTAGGCACAATATTATATGCATTTGTGTTGAAATTAAAATTATCACCATGGTGATAACATTATCACCATGATGGCTGCTGCTTCTCCAGAATGATGACTAGGCTGCATTGTCATCCAATTGCAGTGGTGAAAGCTGTAGTGACACTGGCACCGATAATTGCCATTTTCCACTGCTGGGACTGGTTCCATTCCTCATTCAGCGCTTCTAATCTAATGAGGACCATGTGGGGATGCTGGAAGAAAAATGGGAAAACTGAGGTCAGAGAAACTTTTCCTCCCCCTCAAGTCCACTTGTCCAGCTTCTGAATTTTAAAATTTCATAGCAAATGTTTTTGAACAAATTCTGGATTATTCCAAAAATACTTTTTTTTGCCATGTATATTCTATTTTGGCAAGAAGTGAAACCTCTGTGCAACTTCTTGAATATTTATAAATTCCTAACGTAAGGATGGCTACTTATAAAAAGCTGGTACTTTATACCTTACCATGTTTGTGCAACTCGTATCTGATTTTTTTTCATGACATGAATTCTGAAATGTTTAAACTGACTTTGGTGAATTTGCAGAGTAACACAGTAGAGTGGATGAATACCTTTTCAATAACCATCTATCATCACCACTTGTGTTCTCTTCACTTGCATTCCCCTGCCTCCCCCGTATCCCCTCATTAATTTGAAAAGTTAATCAAAGACAATTAGCAAGTTAAGCCAAGCCTGTGAATTGTTGGGGAATTCAAATGAATGGGTTTCAGTTGGATTTCTTGCATTGGAAACTAACCAATTTTTATGGTTTGCTCACACTGACTACTTCTTGCTTGTTTCACCCACTAACAGTGGAGTGATTATGGGGAAGTGCAAGGGTGCATGTTTTAATGTTTTTAATGATGGGAATTGAATTTTTTTTTCTTTTTCTTTACCATACAAAGTTTTTGAGAATGAATTTCTGTTACATTATAAAACTTTTCATATTCTGACACCCAATGCAGTTTACAATTTTCTCCTTCCCTCTAAATTTCCTTAATCTTTGCAATGAATTTCCACTGGAAAGACCGCAATGCTGTATTATGGAATTTTTATTTATTTATAGGATTTGAAGATGGGAAGCCTTGCACCGGGACCAGATCAGCCTGAATTTGCAGCAAATCAGACGTAAGGCAAAGGTTACTTTCTGGTCGGTTCAGCTTGATCTAAATGTACTGGTATGGGGTACGAGTAGATTTATTTTAAGAACAAAAAGAAGAAATATGTGCTATTCCTTCCTGGATGCAAATGACACGAACCCAACATCAATGGGCCTTGGGCTATGTGGGGCCTGCAATGGCCTTCTATGTAGTCCACAAAGATGCAGAGTACTTTTCATTCAATCGAAGGGAATTTATTAGCACCAGTAGGCCTTTTTTTCAGTTTAGCGCAGATAAGGATGGTTTATGTGTAGATACAGCTCCCAGTTCAATGAGTTCAAATACATGGATTTAGTTGATTCATTTGGCTTTTTGTATCATGCCAAATGCACCAAAGCCTATTAGATAGTGCAAACTCAGGAGGAAATAATTGGTTTTCACAAGTAATCCATGGTTATTGTTCTAGTTCATCTTATGCAAGGAATAGTAGTAAATGATTTCCATGTTGATAGGATTCAATACGGACAACCCTTTCAAAATCAAATTTCAAATCTTAGTAAGATTATTCAATCCAGGACTAATAAATTTAACTCACAGACTTCTTGTATTTTGATCACTATCCATTTATTGCTACTCGTTGGTGAAATCGTTCATGATCTTTTGGCATCCAAGAGGGGAACTGTGAATATTGATCTCTGGATATTGCTGGAACTCTCATTGCTAAGAATTTAAGTATTTGCCATTTTTCACCATTCCAACCTCTTCCTAATGTGATGAGATGAATTTAGCTAACAATTCATCAGGCTATGACAGTGGTTCCCCAGCCTTGGGGTCACGGTGCCCCCAGGCAGGGTGATTCATTCATTAACCCTCATCCAGGCAAGCTTTTTTACAACCTATTCCGGGCAAGGCGAGTCTGTCAGACTCATGTAAAATAAGGCCGTTTGCTGCGGTTATGGTATGTATTCTTATAAATAACTGTAACTAAAATAATAGAGACAATTTATTCAATGGTCTTGATAGTTAAAAAAAATAATGAAAGTAATAGACCGAAATATGTTGTAGTGAGTCCAGCGGACTCACCTTGCCTAGATTAGGGTTAAAATGCCATATATTCTACTGGCTTATGCTGATATTGTCCGTGCATGAGGTTGTGGTTACAAGAATTTGCAGTTATCTGAATGGGGTCAAACTGAGGAAATGGTTGGCAAGTGCTGGGCTTTGAGATTGCAAGCTTCTTTCCTCCTCTGAACCTTTAGTGGTGTGAAGGGAATAATGGAGGTCTGCATGAGAATGCTGAAATGAACCAAGGAGCGTTGCAAGCAGACACAGCCACTTGTGTCTATCCATCCGATGAATTTGTCAGGCAGCTGAGGTTTTGATGACATCAAGGGGAGTAAATGTTGCATGGAGCTTTCTTATCTTTCCCAGAAGTGGCTAAACCTTGTTGAAATAGTTGACATTCTGTCTCAAAATGATTCCTAAGAATAAACTTAAGTGGCTCTGCTTGCATTGAAACTAGAAGTTTAAAGCTAAGCTTTTGTTTTGCACAATCTCAAGTTCATTGAAGTATGTCATGCTTGCATAGCATATCTGGAATTCCAGTTCTTTCATTTTGGGAGTGCTTTTAGCATATTTAGAGCAGTGGTTTCCAAACTGTGGGTGACAAGAGACTTCCAGATGGGTTGCAAGAAATTCCCCATGATTGGAAAAACATCATGTCTGCATCCGCTTAGGTTAAACTATGCACTGCAGATAAGGTCAATGAGTTTTCTTAATGTTATAATTAATTTTAATGTCTCATTCTGGATTCTGGTAGGTTGTGAAATTTCCTGGATGTTGGCAAGTGGGTGGGTTTCAAAGGGAGTCTGAGAACCACTACCTTAGAGGATGTTATGGCCATGGAAGTTATTTTTTCCATGGCCTTGGCCATTTATCTTATTTAAGAAGAAAATTGGTTATATACCACCATATGCTTTGAGTGTCCCTAAGTCTTGAGATTGAGCGCATTTAAGTACATTCATATATTCCTATGTTCATTAGAGTGATGTGATTAGAGTGATATGATATCAATAACTAAATGCAATTCTGATGCGATTACATGAGTATTAGCCACTTAACACAGCTAAGAAGTAGGATATACAGGGTGAGCCATAAATATTCACACTAAATCGAAGTCTTGTATTTCCTGTACTAATAACTTCTCTGAGAGTCAATTGAATCTCAACAAGACACAAGGGCTCACACTCTTTCACAAAATGTGTTCAATATTTCCTCATTCTTCTCAACAGCTACTTGGAATCTTTGAGTCTGTCAGTTGATTACACCAGATGGATTTGGTTTCGCTCCTCTTTCGGCACAGACCTTAACTGGTTCAGGTTGCTGGATTTAGTTTATGGGCACTTGCTTCCAGCAGACTTCGCATACAGTAATCAGTTTGGTTATGGTCAGAGTTGTATGGGGGTCATATATATTCTTTGTTCATTTCTACTTCATGGTCAGCCAGACAAGTTTTTGAACCTTGACCCATTTCTAGGCATAGAAGGATTCATGTTAATACATCCAAGGTTCACCAAGAAAGGTAAAAACCATTTTTTCTTTGTTGCTTTTAGGCATACAGAAATAGATAAGTTACAAGTGGTATGAATATTTATGGCCCACCCTATTTAGGCCAGTGCAACACAGTAATCTTCAAACCTGTTTGACTGGCAACAACTATTTTGCTTCTATGCATACACTCGCCCCAAACTCGGAGTTGGCACCAAGGACTTTCTTGAGGAACTTGTCCAAGTTCTTGGAGTAGAAGTGCCAAGTTGAGCAATCATCTTCTGTTGGTTCAAGACCTTCCAGAACCACTGAAGAGAGACAAGAACAAGATGACCTAGGCTTTTAAGAGGCAGCATGGTCTGGCCATCCATATTGTGCTCCACAGTTTAGAGCTCATCAAGATCTCAGAGCAGCTGGTTGAGGAGGATCCCAAAGTGTCCACCCAGATGTTATATGATTTTTTTCTGGATATGCCCATGTCCGCAGTGCACAACATTCTGACGGAAGACCTCCATTTGCATTGGGTCACATCAGTCTGGGTGCCTCATCAGCTCCCAGAAGACAACCAGAGAGCAAAGGTCAATTGCAATAAGTATATCTGCAAGATTTTTTTCTGTGAAGGGTTGCAGAATATCCACAACAAGCTTGTGGTACAGGATGCATCATGGGTGCACTTCAGTGGACAACTGCACAAACAATACAAGTGCTGGCTTCAAGCAGATCAGGACCAGCTCTGAGTGGTCTAGCAGAATGTGACTGACAAGAAGACCCTTCTTTTTGCCTTCATTCTGAACAAGCTCTATTCTTTCAGCATCACAACCCCCCAAGGAATCTATTGACTCCCAGTGCATTATTGACTTTGTCACACGGTTGATCTTTGGAGATGCTTACACTTGAAGCAGATCCTACTGAGTGAGGTCATTTGGCAGCAGGACAATGCACGACCTCACACATCTGCCATTGTGAAGGACTTCATGACCCAGTGCAACATCACGATGCTCTTCTGAAGCCTGTACAGTCTGGACTTCAATCTGTGCAATCTTTAACTGGATGAAGAATGACTCTGAGAAAAGTGTTTGCAATGACCATCTTGAGGTGGAGGAGGCCATGCTGCAGTGGATTGGGACACTGGACGAGGAGGTGCTCAAAGAGGAGGTTGGGAGGGTACTGGACCACTACCAAGATGTCATGGACTAAGGAGGGGACAACATTATACATTCTAACTATTTATATTTTAATTTATATCAAATATTTTTTATTGAACCAGTCTCAAGCTTTATTGAGAAGCCAAATTGCTAGGTAAGGTGAGGGATAGCCTGTTGCCTTTTGAAATTCTGAAGCACCTTTGAAACAGGTGGCCCAGCAAAGTTTCTTTCCTACATCTGTCTGTGCATTCTACATACATCCTAAAACTTTTGCCTATTTATTTCTAGCTATATTACCACTACATGATTGATGTTGCATAAGCAACTGAAATTTTATATTTGTGTTTGCACCTGAATGCTGACCCAAGGACCTGCCCTACTAACACGGGATGACAATTCTTCTGAAGGTTTTTTTTTCCTCTGCACTCTAGAATCTGCCTAACACATCTCTGACTCAGTCTTATATCTGATAATCTAGACAGGATGCTTTCATCCCTGAATTCTTTGGAAACAATGACTTCTTCCATATGAATGTAGTTTTCTTCAGTTTAATCCAGATTCAGTCATCTGCTTCCCCACTTAGGTTAACCAGTTCCTTGCCATTTGTGAATCATTCTTTTCACCATAGGCCTACATATTTTTTTTACCTCATACCAGGATTTCTTGAAAATTGCGCTTCACCCCATCCTTTCATGAAAAACATCATTTTTATGGGTTGACAGAGGAGTTCTGGTCTGAGATTGGTGTGCTCAATGCATACAAGCTACTCTCCTGCATGCTATGATTGCTCACAAAAAGAAAATTTAAGTTGTCCTTTTGTTATTGCTTATGTGGAAAAAGGCTGGGAAAAAATTAATAATTTTAGGATGCTTGAAGGAATACATGAGAGTAATTGAAAAACAAATGTTTGCCAAGCCATCTGGTTTCTTGTGGACTCCAAAGAAACTCAATGGACAATGTATTTTCTGTTGCCTCACCTAGTATTTATGCATTAATACTCATATTATCTCAGAAATGGGGCTCCAGGCCTCTGCATGGATCACTTGGGACAAATTGCTCTTTTATACAGAAATTATTAAAATGTTTTTTGTACCTCATGCCAAAGTTATTGAAGAGACATTGCCATTTCTTGGATTATTTTTCGATTTTTGATTTAGCAAGCAAGTTAGCATGAAAACTAGATCATTGGCCTCTGACCTTGAATTTCAATCTTAAAAATAATTCAAATTCAGTTTAGTTGACATTCATTCAATTGAGTTTTTTTTCTGACTTCTGTCTTCCAGGACTGAAAGTATGATGTAATTAGGATTGAAGGCACTAATTAATTAAATACAAAAAGGGAAAAACTAATATAAAAAAGTAACACAGAACTTCACTAGTTGGATCAGTCACTTGAGCTCAGCCCACAATTCTAAGCAGAGGAATGAACAATTCTTCCCATGCTTGTCTGATGAAATGTTATCAGGATAGGGCAGCAAAGATCAAGTTATAAAAGAGAGAGCAGTCAATGAGTTGCTATGGCCTTTTATCTGCAATGGATGTAAATAGTTACCATTTCTTCAGAGAAAGTGGTATGGAATGTACAATCATTGTAATACAAAGGAATGGCTATATTTAGTTAAGGACAATAATTATTCCTATAGAAAAATAAATAATTGTGGGATCACAGGCCTGAAGACAAGTTGAAGATAGGTAATAGGTTGCAGTTGTGATGAGGTGCTCATTTGAACTGTGAAATGATAGAGCATGGAAACCAAAGGACTCGATTCCAGGCTTGAATGGACCAGCCCACCAGTCAATGCTTTAGTGAGCCCTGGGTGTCCTACCAAAAAAAAAAGGGTCATATAGGTGGTCATGCTATACTCTGAGCTGCAGGGTGGAGGTGGGGGGGGGGGGGGGTTAATGAAAGTGCATGAATTCAAATCCTGATGCATGACACTGTTTCAGCAACATATCTGTATTCATATAGTTGGTGGCAGCTCTAACCATAGACTGATGAGGATGAAGGGCCAAAAAATTGTATTCTTTCTCTTTTTGCACCTGACCAAAATGCAGACATCTCTCTGGTTCAGATATTGTGCAGGATTTCTTTCCCCAGCTGAAGTTGTGTGCATGGAAGGATTATATGACTTTATTGCTAGTCGTCATGTTTGATAGGACTAGAGTTCCCATTTCTAATAGGATTAGATATATCCTTGCATGAACACATTGGAAGATTTGAATTTGACTCCATTTGTTGGTGAGATATTTCTTGGCCCTTCTCGTCTTTCTGGGAGCTCCATTGATGGTTTTCAGTAATTATTGGTAACCCCTACTGGAGATGGAAATAGTTGATTGCAATGGTGAGAGATTTAGGAAGGATAAAATACTAATGAATTTGTCTGTGATCATTTGGGCAGGGATCGTCAGGAGAGAGGGGAAGAGGAAGTACAAGAAGATGTACTGAGTGCTTCCCAGTCTACCAAGAAGAATAACAGATCATGAGTCACGCCTGTTGTTTCTTGAATACCAGCTGAAGAGACAGCAGGCATTTCATTTCACGATCAAGGCGATGTTACTTAATCATTTCTTAGACATTGTCTTCTTCGTCGCATTTTTTATTCATCTTATGTTTCTTCTCTGATGACCTCGCACCAATAAGGTTTCATAATTTATGAGCAACTGCTCTAAATGTTGAGTTGATCTCATTTGTTTTATGTTCTCAACCCCTTCCATTGTTGTGATAATGTGATGACTAGGGGCTTAATGTTCACTTTGGGTGAGTAGATATTGATGACCTTTGATCTCCTTTCTCTGATCAAGAATCAGAGTTTTAAAAGAAACAGCTGAAGTGTAAAGCTGAAGTGATGAATTCTGAATAAGTTTAAACTTTGCTTGGTATGAGTCTGTTTGGAAAGTAATGTGATATGATAATGTGGTGTTGCCATATGTGATGCAAAATATGTCCAGTTGGACATTGTGCCATCATCATCATTGTGTTCTTGTCCTTTGAATGTGATAGAGACTGATTCACAGTATACATTGTTAAAATTTGACACGAATTGGAATGAAACACTTTCTTTCATGCACTTAGTTCAGCTTCTCCTTTTACCTATCCTTGCATTTTTGAGGAACTGAGGGCATTGCAGTCAGGTCCTTTGGTGGTTTCCTTCATAGAAACATTGTTTAATACATAATGTACAAAATACATACAGATAATACCCTCTTAAACAAAAAGTTTTGGTGTACAATTTTATATGGTGGTTGTGTTGGTTTTTCCTCCTTCATTGTTTTTGATTCCATTTTGTTGTTATTGTGGAACCAAAACTGATTCTAGCATGTTCTTTGCGGATAGTGCAGCTATATTATATCCTCATGAAGCTCTCTATATGTAACGTTAACTTTGGACACAAATTTTTTTTCCTTCGCTCCTCCGCGTTCTACTTTCCCTTTCCCTCCAGCTGTTATCTTTCTCATGATTTCATTCCAGGTGACTAACATTACAAACTCCCGTTATTCTACCTTACCTGGAATCGCAGGGGAAAACCGATTTTGAGATGTGGGATGGCCCCCTAAATCTGATTATTGATCTCTGGGCCTTGTGAACGAGCAAGGGTTCGTGAGCATACCATACGCACGTATCTCAGCTCCCCGAACATGTCAGACATTGGTAAACCTGGGGATGACCCAGGCAGGAGAATATTTCGTGGATCCTGGCGGAGGGCAGTGGTACAAAAGCTGGAATGTAGCGAACCCCAGGGGGTCACAAGATATGGGGCACGAATGCCTCGCTACATATGGGGATCAGACCCGACGTGGTCGGATGGTAATCAAGAAGGTTGCGTGTTCTTATAGATGGTGACTTAGCAAGGGAGAAGCGAAGTCTCAGATCTCTCTAGACTCCAAATAGGAAGGAAGGTACGTCCTTAGATAAAGTTAACTACTGTGCAGAATTTATTAGGATACTCAATGTGGGAGAAAGACCGGAAGGAGAAATACAGGGAGATACAGTCTCACGGTTATAGCTGGGGCTCGCACGCACTTCGTCCTGATACGTGGACGATCGAAGGTGTTGGTTCCTGGTCGCCGACCGTGGTCCAGGTCGTCGGCTCGTGATGAGTCCACAGCAATTCGCCATGCAGACCAGCCCGCAGTTCGGGGCTCACACCGCGGTTCACTGAGTTGACCGGCTGTGAGGGTCAGGCTGCGTGACTCGACACGCCACGTGATGTCCGGCCGGAGGTTCAAAACGGACTGTGCGTAGGGCAGAGGTGAGGGCGTGAAGGGGCGAGAGGAGGTCCGCTATGGGAACTTGGCGTAGTGACTCGGGACTCTTCCCCTCTGCTCATCCATGGGCAGGAGGACGACTCCACAGGAAATTCTTCGACAAAAGTCATATTTTGAAAATGGAGGTGAAAAAAATAATTTGCAATTAAAAGTTACGGGTTAAAGTTCTTTTCCCGTATCTATATTTGTTTAGGCCTTACTTCGGTCCTTCATCAGCCATAACGTGGAGCAAAGGTCAATGATTCCAACTTTTCTTTAAATATAGGTACTTGATGCCAAAACATGACAGAAGTTTGTCTTGTGGTATGACTGTTCTTGTCAATTCGTTTCCATCAAATGTGATCTGAAGGTGTACCTAAAGGTGAGTCTTGCTTATTGTATATATAGTTTTACTCCTGCTGTATATGCATAACTTATGTTATTTATTAGATCCTGTGTAGTTGATTGGCGAACTACTTCGGATGACAATGTACAGTTATCAAGTGAATTTGAAATACTTCTCAGGATTTCTCGGAGAATTCCTCACAGCCCATAAAATACCAATTGAGGAAGAAAATGAGCCCGTAATCTCCTGCGCCCAGCTGCGCCTAAAGTGAGGAAATCATTTTTATATTGTTGGTCTCGCAATTTCTTCAGGATGCCCAAGCCTTCGACCCGAAGGGACCTCTGCAACACCACGAGGGCCATGAAGCAAGCGGACCACGCCGACTCAGGCGTCATTCCAATGCTGGTCGAGTTCATTCAAGGCCGCGACAAAATAAATGAGCATTTTCGTGAATCGCGGCCACGTCAATCGTCGAAAAGTGTCAGGCTTTTCAAAAGGGTTGCCTCTGTTCGTTGGGCGAAGGCTTGCAGAAAGACAGAGAGGTTTTTAGCGAGCGATGCCAATCGGCTGGAAGTTGTGTTCCAATGGCCACAGATGGCATCACCTGAAGAGTTGGCATTTTCGGCACAAGTAAAGCTTCGACAAGAGAGAAAGTTTGATGCTGCCAACTTATTGAAAGACGTCTGCATCCTGGACCTTAGCATCCTCATCAGTTCATAGCTTGACCTTGACAAGTCTGCCTCGATATACAAGGCAAGAGCTTCATCGGGTGCGAGTGGTTTGACTTCCTGTTTCATTTTGGCCTGATCTGTTGGCTGTAGTCATTTCTTTGAGCCGGACTTGACGAAGCCCCACATGAAGAAGTCGCACGGCGTCGAGTCCGGCCCGCCCCACCTCATTTCACGACGGGGTCCGACGCACCCGCAGACATCGGATTGCCCGGCCCCAGTAGTCAACTCATCGATGGTCACCGTTGGCGCACGGTGACTATCGCAGTCCTGATTATCCTTGGCGACGATTGAGCCAGTATGGAGTACCCGAGCCGAACTCATCATGGTGGATTTGGAAGAAAAGAAAGTAAAGATGGCGGCAGGATTACTGCCTCCCCACATTATCCATTATGGCGTGAGCAACCCGATCGATAGTGCAGCATGACTCTTCAAAATTTTCTTTTGTGTCCCTCCTCCTTCGTTTATGTCTTCTAGGACTTCAAGGTAAATAAATACAAGATCACATGTATGTGTATCCTTTTACCTGTCTCTCTCTTCTTCAGTGCATCACCAGAAAGATCCTGACTCCTCTATCGCTGAGCGTAACTTCAAAATTTCAAAGTACTTTTCGATTCCTGAATTTTTAAAACAGAATTTTCGATGATCGGGATTGAGTCCTTCGATCGGACCCTTGGATCTATCCAATTTCGACAAATATTCATTTTTGAGGCGGTGAAATTTTCAAGTCCAGGAGGAAAATAAGGATTGTCCTTCGTGAGATCAACTCATGCTGAAGAAAGGGAAGCCGAGAAGAACTGCTCTCGATCAGACAAACCATTAGAAACAGAAAGAGCAATAGAAACTTCGTGGAATAAATTCGAGACGGATACGCAAAGGGGTGGAAGGGTGAGGTGGGGCAAAAGTAACAATGGGGTAATTGTAACAATGCTTTATCTTTTTGCAAGTACATCAGATACAATTTCCCTATTTTGTGTCCATAACATGTCAATCATCGTCCTTTGATAAAATATATTTTGAGTTTCTCTGTGATTTCCTAAGAATGTGTTTACTTTAATTTTGCGCACCTTTATGAAAAAATTAATAATCCAAATTTTTTATCTTTTGTTGCAATTTCGTATTTCTTCCCAACTAATGAAGTCTTAAATGTAAAACTGTTACATTATCTGTCTGATCTTCATATCGACCTCATGATCTCAAAATTTGGACTTTGGCCTTATCACATCACTTGTTTAGTTGAATGTTACTTTTACCCCATGGAAAGTTGGGTCGTGGGGCAATTGTAACAACGTTGCATGGGGCAAAAGTAACATTGCACATACAATATTTTAAGTGCTCTTAACTTTGGTACATCAGTTTATTTT